GCAAAGAGAAAAATTAGTTATCTATACTAATTACAGTTTTCATTTTTTGACTTTTATATACGATGATTAATTATATCAATACATAATTAGATATTCCAAGCTAGTTGCCATTCCTAGAAAATTGCATTAACTAAGTAAAACCATAATGTTTTCATTGATGAACGAGTTGAATAGAAAAACGGTTTTTTTTTCTTTCATAATTTTGAACTTGTAAAAATATTTAACACTCTATTCTTTATACTTTTGATTTAGGCTCGAAGCCGATTTTCATAATGAACGATTGAATTTATTAGCATAATTGTTATTCCACATTGCCTGTCATTAGTTAGCATTCGCCCTTTTCTTTTCTACTCTCGCCTACTCTCCGTTTGATTTCCATTTATTCAATAGATTCTCTCTTTCTTAGACACTTACGATCTATAATAATGTCATAGATTTCTGTTTGTTTCAGCCTCCGATAAGATGAAGAACAACGAAGGCTTTTGTTCGGTTAAAATCCAACAAAAAACACGACCGCTCGCCTTTTCTCCTTACTATGCTTATTGCAATCGTTTTAGAGTTGTACCACATAGTGAGAATATGCACTCATCACAGTACTTCATAATGAAGATGGTGATGACAACGAAAACAATTAATTTTGTTAATGTTCCGCTTTCTAATCACATTAGTAAGCGACAACAACTAAGATAAAACTTTATGCATTCTCCGCCTTTCCCTTTCAGTTGTATATTTTCTTCTTCTTTTGACTGAAGAAAGAAAGACTTGTATCGATTTATCACTAAGAACATCGATATTACTATTATCATCTATTGTCACTGTAGAATATTTAAAACAAAACAAAAAGAACGGAGTATCTGTACATATCCATGAAAAACAAATATAAAATCATTGTTCAAAATGTGTGAGTAATTTCCTGTTGTAAGATAGATAGAAGCATATTGAATCGTGATATCATATTTATTATATTCGTATGTTCTAATTTCATATCCGGTGGTTGCAAGAACAAAAACAAATTTAGGAGTGTATGACCTAAAATAGATTGCTATTCAAATCTGATACACGAGAAATGCATAGCTATGTAAAAATAAGTATAAAGGAGAACATCGGTTTTTTTTGTATCTAAGTATAGTAGTGTCACGATAAAAATAAGACATCATTCAAATTTACATAATTGAGTGTTAAACAAACTAGATTAAAGGAGTATTAGTCGAAGAGAAAATATGCATTTCTGAATGAATTACTACAAACAATCTCGGTATTTTTCATTATTTGGTTAATGATGAAACATAAATGTATGTTGTTGTTATTTATTTTTGTTTTCATATCGAAAATATGATTATAACTGTTAAAATCTGCTGTTTAAACGCATTAGAGAAATTCTATTAGAGATATGATATAGTTTGTCATTTTCGAATTTATTATCATTGATAGCAGGAAGTATTCAGTCGATGTAATCATACTTTTAAATATAGAACTCATAGACTGTTTAGGCCAGTGTTTTATCCAGCGGGAGGGCAAGGGACATTTTGTCCTCTCGAGGAAAATGAAATAAATAATTAACTTTTATATAGCGTACAAAACACAGATGTTTCGAACGCATCAGTATGATAGACTCGATATTATTCATGGTTGTTAGCCCCCTTACAACACTTTTGTCTGCCCTCTCGACAGCCGAATTCGCCCTCCCGGAGCGAAAAATCTATATAAAATACTGGTTTAGACAAGGGTCAACAGCTCTTTTTTACGGTAAATATCCTGTCATTTATATTTTAATTGATCGAAACTTTGCCAATAGAACAAACATAGTCAAGATCATAATGGAAGACTTTTAAGCAAGGGGGAAAAAGCGATTTATGAGTTTCATGATTTTTCTGAGTTTAGCTGATTTAAAACGAGTTTGAGAAAACGAAAAATTTGCTAAACTAACTAAAAACTATTCCAAATCATAAATTATTACTGAAGATCATTCAAAGGCACCGAAACTCACGCAAACTCATTCCAATACAGTTAATTTATATTGATTGTAAGTTGAGTTTTACTGTGATTTAAATCAGCTTTTCCCCCCTTGCTTTTAAGACTAAATGATGGATAATAGATAGTTACGAAAATGAAATGAGTATAATTTAAGTTAACTTGACAGCGATACAGAAAATTTATTCATTTACAAAACGAGATGGTTTCTAACAGCAATCGAGCTTATTTTCTGTATTGTATTAAATTAAGAAACTACTACCAATAGTTTTTATTTAAAACGATCAGAATGAACTAAAACATTTCGATTTTCTTGGTACGAATCGATTCGAAGGTAAGTCCGAATATGATATTGTGATTGCCTAATTCGTTAACGGCGATTCCTGAACAATCTGCAATAGTCGCATAGGTAAGTTGCATGTATCGATTGAGAAAAAGAAACTCTAATTATCACTAGAAGTCACCTCTCAACATTAGAAGACAAAATATTTTAGTTAGAATAAAACAAAGCCATCTTATCTGATATCATCCTTTAAATAACTACGCAGAAAATATCATTGTAGGCCCACTTAAACTTCATCCTACTGATTATTTTCATAATTTTTCATTATAATACTGTTATCTCTTCATACGGCAGATCTTTTGATGAATTCTTGTTGACATAAAACTTAATAGAAAGATTATCGTGTTTTTATTTTTAATATATCTAATCGGATAGATTTTATCATTACGGTAACAGAGAGATAGAGAGCGTGTTTATACATATCATGGAGCAATATTACTTAAGCACATCACGAGTCAATTATTTGATAAAGACAATTTATACAATATTTTATTCATTAACAAGATAATGGGATGCAAGGATAGTTATGTATTCCAGATAAAGAAATAATTGATGAGAGACAAAGATATTTTTATTCTATTTTTTTAAAGAAAAAGTGATAAAAGCTGTTAGCGCAACTCCTTTGGGATTAAAATGTGAAACACGATGTAAGTGTTAATTCTGACCAGAAAAACAAATTATTCTATATTTTTCTGAGCTGTTTCTTTCATTATACTTTAATGCATCACCTACAAGTGAAAAATGCAAGTAGATCATAAATTTGCTGATATAGTAGCATTATGTGTTCCTTGCCCGTACGAAGACGGCCACTACTATTCATCAAAGTATATCATAAGTGCTCTGGGACGACAGCAACGTCACTGATCTTGTTTTGATGTTTGTTATATCATGCATGTTTATTTCTCCTCTGTGTTGTTCTCTCTTATTGCTTATTGTCGCGCTTGCTGTTTTCAACGTCGGCACCTTTTTCGTTTTTTTCGCGCTTAGACTCAGAGAAATGAGATATATAATTACTCTCTTTTTCTCTTAAAGTTTCTTAGACGCTTCTTGATATATCTCTCTTCACTGAGATGTACTAATTCTTCTTTTTCTTCTCTGGCTACTACTGATCAATTACATATTACCTTGTTCTTTTCAACTTGATTGTTCTTTACAATCAATCTAACTCGATTGCTCCTTACAATCGTTCGAACTCATGTCAGCTATTTGCTTGTGAAGTTCTTCTTATTCTCAACTATTTCTGTTCATTGAATAAACAATTGGATCTTCATCCAATATTCAATACTATTTAATTTTCATTGTTGTCATTCTGCCACAACCAATACTGTGACATCTGGCATTATTATTAGTTGCGTCTCTTATCCTCATCAAGGCGTTACATGCTCCTCTCTATCCACTCTGAATTTGCTAACCCGTTTGTGATGGTTCCAACGCCTATCTGTTAGGATCTGTTATAGGCAGTTAACTAATTATGCCGTATTTAGCTAATTCATCAATTAAAATATATGTGGAAGGAATCCAACTGTGTATCCTAAACATTGCTTTCCGTGCGACTTCGACAAAGCATCTCTGCAACGCTCTGTGGTGGACAAATCACCTCGTTGTAATGATCTGCGATGTGCAAAACTTACCCATCACAGGCCGTTACCGGCAGATGATCACCTGTCGGGAACGGTCTATGGGGGGAGATGAATGCAAAATTTCTACCCTAAACACTTCAACACTCCTTTGAGGTCGTGTTTCACAAAATATTATTGTCAAATTTTTATGATAGTCTAAATAACATTGATTCATCTAACACTTCAAAATTATTAGAAAAGAAAGGTCAGTGAAAGAACATTTGATATATAGGGTTTTCGGTGTCTCTTTGAATGTCCCTTTTTTCTAGAGATCTTTTTTTTATATTTTGTAAGTACTTGAATGATATTATAGACTACATAGTATCTGACGGTTATTATTACGCATTCTTTCGATTAGATATGAAGCCATATTTTTGAGGAAAGCGACATTTTCTTCAGCAGAATGATTGATATTCAAATAAATATTCTATCATTGATATATCTATCATCTGATCAAATTCATTCATTCAGAAATTTTTAAAGAATATATTTGCCTATATAAGAACGCAGTTGATGAAGCAAAAAACAGAAGTTTAAAACTAAACTAAAGACAAATGTTTTTCTTTAAAAATAATTTTGAAAGTAAATTTTGCGTAAAGTTAAGTTTTTCTTTTGTTACGTGAAATTTTTTGGTAGAATACAACTTTTTTGTTTGTTTGTTAGAGATGGTTTTTCTTATGAGTAGATATTTATGATATTGGAAAAAGCACCGCAGCTAGTTTGAATATTATTCTCGACATAATTTTCATATCACGACTAGAATGAATGTCAAATACATTAATTATCTCATTAGTGACCATTCGGATAATACTGAAAACATAGCGCCACAATTATCGCTATAGACGGTAATATCATATACCGAAACTCTTTCAAGCTATTGTTTATTTTATAGACAACATATGACGTCAAACAGCATCCGACGGTTCTATCTATTATTTTATTTCCCACCAGATCGTCAATAGTAAATTCTGCTAACTTTAAAACTAAGCTAGAAATATACAATAACATTATCTTTTATATTCTTTTTAGATATGTAATATTCTAATTTTACCATAGTTTTATTCTCCATGAATGCTCCTGTAAGATTACCGTCGGCAGTTTCATCTCTCGATCATAATTTAACATTACCATTATTAAATCATTCATCAATTTATCCAACGGAACCAATTAATAATTGTAGTGTTGCATTACAATATAGCATTGTTGAGCAAATTATTTATCTCTATTTAATGTCACCATTATGTGTTATTGGCCTTATATTAAACGTAATTAATTTAATTATATTTTCTGATCGTTCATTTAAAAATTTAACATTTAAATATTTACGTCTTATTGCGTTTGTCGATTGTATAACAAGCACACTAGTATTTATCTATTGCGTTACAAATTATACTCGGCCACGTACCTTCAATGATAAATACTTTCGTGTATGGTACTTAGTTAATGTCTATTTTCCATTAGCTAATATCACAGCTGGATGTAATGTTTTGCTAACAATAACCGTAACTATTGAGAGACTTGTCAGCATACGTTGGCCTATGTCAAAACAAAAACTGTTTAGCCAAAATAATGTGTTACTGACATTGATCATATGTTTTTTATTTCCGATCGTTGCTAATTCAGTTAATTTTCTTGTTTACAAAGTTGGTGAATGTAATAATCTTGATGGAACAAAGATAGCACGTACAGAAGCGTATAAATATTTTGGTATATTCAAAGAAATTCTATTACGTTTTATTCCAATATGTATACTTGTATGTTCAAATTGTCTTTTATTGTCGACTGTACATGCAGCTAATAAAAAATTTATACCATCGAAAAATGCTCGACAATCTGCAACGGAAGCATCGATAACGGTATCACTTCAACCATTGTCAAATGGTTTGGATACAAAACCAATTAATAAATATATATCTGAATCTCAATCACAAACTGATACACGTTCACCAATACTACCGGAGTCAACAACAAATGGAGACGAACGAAAAACATCTGTACCAGTCGCATCAAAAACGAAAATGCAAATAAGAAAGCAACAACAAGAAAAACAATTAACTATAATGCTCGTTTGGATATCGACACTTTATTTATGTGGACAAATTCCAATGTTATTTGCCTATCCAAATTTCGTTTTTAAAGACACAAATAAACCAGCGTATAAACATTATGCATTAGTTGTTAATCTGCTTGAACTAGTAACGTATTTGGCAAATTTTTGTATTTATATTAAATTTACAACACAATTTCGACAAGTTTTTCGCACTAAAGTCAAACAACTGTTTTTTTGTTTTTTCAAAACTGCCTAACTGAAAACTACAACGTTATATTGATATGTATTTTTTCTTTGTTTTAATGTCTCTCATATCTTTTTCTTTCTTGTTCTTAATCTATACATATATATTTTTCTTCAACTTGTTATAGTATTTTATTTAAGAAGAGAAAATATTAAACATTTAAAATAAAACTGCATGGAAATTCGAGATTCACTCGATTGTAAAATGCGTTGGAAAACTGTGGATGTTTCATTGTTATCTATGTCAATCAACAGATCGAAGTGGGAAAAAACCTATAGAGAGACTCCTGTGAAAACTTTGCTACGAAGAATATTGACAGCTACAGATTTTGATTCTAATCGATGCGTGTGATTGGTTTTTGTATTTTCATTCTAATATGCCATCAATTATCAGCTGTCGTAGTTATAGGTAGAGAAATTGGCGGCTAACTTTTGTTACTGTCATCATTTTTATTATCTCGAATTGACACACGCCTCTGTTGTAAAAAGAAAAATAGTTTATTGCGAATGGATCCGGTCTTGTTGCTGCTTCTATTCTAGGATAGATATATTGTAATAGAGTGTCTTTGATATTGTTCGTATAAATCGGCTATTTTCATTGATGTATTTTTATGTAGACACGAATGGAAAGGCTTGAGAGTTGCACAGGAAACTATTAGAAGTCAATGAAAGAAACATCTTTCTGTAGAATCTCTCTACAGCAATAAATTGAGAGTACAAACGCTGCTTTTCAGGATGCACATAAATATCAACTCGATTCAAACTTGATTTATTTATTCCAGGGTTTACTTCGTAATTACAGGATAATTCTTTTTTTTTCTCGGATGCTATTTATGTGCAAACGATAGACGATCTGTGCAATTGTTCCTATGTTTAAAAAAATATTCAATTAAAACCCAATTTGAAGATCAACTTGGTACAGAATGAAAAAAATTGTTGTGCATATCGAAAATGAAAGAAAGAGTACAAACTTGTGAGATATTCCATAAAACTACTACGTCACCACTGAAACAAGTACTATGTTTCTTTTTATTCTAAATGTTTAATGTATTCTAGGGTAAATATAAACTCGTACCTAAAAATATAGCAATTCATATCTAATTTATTAAATAACATTACTTAGCAACACAAAGTTATATACAATTAATTATTAAAGTCATAGAAAAAAGTCTCGAGGGTGATGAGGAGTGTGGATGTGGGTATGGGTGTTCTTATTTCTCTTTACACCTATACTCCACCCAAGACATTTTTTAAACTAACTTTTTTCTTATCACTTATCGTCATTCTCAGCTCACATATGCTCTTGCAATTAATTTATAAGGACTTATCAATTATTGATTACGTTCAAATTAATTAGATAAGTCGATAAATTCATTAATAGTCATTTGTTAAAAGTGATAATATATTGAATTAAAAGACAGAACATTTTTTAATTCAGATATTTAATTGATTTAAAAGATGTTGAATTACAAAATTACATTAAACAACTTTTTTTTAAAGGTATCCTTTCACTAGAATAGATACTACTGTATTAAGTTAGGCAATATTGATATAATTTAGATATGGATTGCTATATTTTTAGATATTGCATTAAATGCATGCCATTTATTTTCTCTGAAGTACACAATTGAAAGAATATGATAAGACGTATAGGATGAATCATAAAAAAAAGTCATTTAGCCCTTATCAACTCGAAAAATAATTCGTTTGTTATCGAACGAGCAAACAAAAGACTCGTGTTTGAATCATATTATATATTTTAGAATGGCAACAGGTAGTAGTACTGACCATAAATCTTGCTGTCAATGTAGCATTCGTTCAACTGACACATGTAATGGATGTCATCAAGTATTTTGTAGTGATCATATAGATAAACATTATAAAAAAATTAGTAAACAAATGAATAACATAGAACGAGAGAATGAAGTTCTCAAGCAAGATCTTACTCAGCAAACTTTATCTACAGCACTAACAGATCAAATTGACCAATGGGAAACGGCTTCTATTGAAAAGATTAAAAGTGCTGCACAATTAGCTAGAACAGACGTACAAAAGTTAAGTGAGGAATCAAATCACTATATTTCTAATTTGATCAATAAACTATCCAATGATTTGCAGCTAAATCAAAAGCAGAATGAATGCAACGAATATTATATAAATCAATGGAAGGAGCAACTCAACAAAATACGTCTGGAGCTTGAAAAATATTCTAAAATGGAATTATTCTACGGCAATGGTTCACCCCCTTACATGATAAAAATTGAAGTCCCCGGTAAAACAGAACGGAACCAAGTGGACAAGACTTTTCCAAATGTAGATCGTTCACGTGAAACACCAGCAGAAATTGTTATATCGAGTAGGCTGTCAACCGATACTAGCTTAACAATGCAAAGTTTACCATTACAGTATCAAATGTCAGCATACCCAAGCGAATTATTTGGTTTGAATCAATCAAATCAGAAAAAAATTAATTCTCTTTTTGAACATCTTATGCGTTTGAATCCCATGGATAAAAATGGGCCGATGAGTGGTAAATGTGACCGTCAAACTGATCAAATGAATCAATTCCTTTCCCAAACATTTGGTTTCAAAAATATTCCAGATAAATATATTGTGCAAGGTGTGAAGTCATTTGAATTGAAATATCCTCCTGATTCTATGAATTCTAGTGGCGAAATCAGTTTTCCCACAAATACTATTGATGCATTCACAATGACAGTAGAAGAAATTGTGCGTTGGCAACATTCATTTAGAGTCTATGCCGACGTCAATATTAAAGGAATGAACAAAAAATTTCTTAAGCAGGCTCTAAAAGGGAAGAGTAAAGACGGCAAGGAAGCTTTTCGTATGAAATTCGTCGTACGAATTTCAACATGTCCAATCTTGATGGAATTCGATGCTAAAGTGATATCTCGAAATTTAGAGGATAAATGGCCTAATCGAATCAAACTTGTTTCCGTCACTGGTATAGATTTCGCTGGTCGAAAACATGATGTCGGTGATATACTATACTATCTGTCGAATTGGAGAAAAGTTTTCTACACTGACCAAACAACAGGATTACCATCTCTCTATAATGCAAGAGATTTTCATCAACGGCCTGATGCACAGCCAGGCAAAATTCAGAAAGAGCGAGTTCGAGATAGTTTGATGCGTATGACTAGAATACGATTGCAAGCGTGTGATAAAGAAGGTGTTCAGATAGTTGTTGAAACAGGTATTGGACTTGGTGTATTTGCTGGTAGTCAAATTGGAATCGACGCAGAAATACGAGCACTCTCAGCAGAAGCTATTCGAAAAGTACTCGAACAAGACGGACCATCCTACACTAACATTCTTGCTATCGTCTTTGCGCTACCTATATTCAATAAAAGTGGATCGAACCATCCGGTTTCTAATACTTATGATGATTATGTGAATGAGTTTCAACAAGCGAAATACAAAGGTCCTATACCAGTACTAATTGCTGATCAAGACATGCATCGATTAACTGTAGCTATTGCTCGTCAAGGATTTATTGTGTCTGAACTAAATCCTGCTGATTCACATGGTGTTTTTGGTGAATATTGGCAAAATCGAGGACCAGCTGTAGAAGAAAAACTAGCTTTGACAACAGCCGGTTTACTCGTACAACATCATCTTATCAATCGAGAAGTTCTTGATGACAGTAACTATCGGTTAATAGAAATAAACGATGCACCCGTTTTGGACTGGAAAGCCGCTATGGGTGGGAAACAATAAAGACAATTCATTTTTTAAAACTAGACTTTACTCAAAATAAAATTAATATAAAAGCACAGTCTTAAATGTTCAAAACGAAAGACAAACTTTTAATCATGACATATTTTTCAATAAGGTTTGAGATCATCAACAAAAATGTCAACTAGTTTCATTTGATTTTACAACTAACGTATTCTCTTTTAACTTGTTTTTCTTTGTTTGGTTTGTTAGAGTATTTACAAAAAAACGAACAAGAACTCTTTTTAAACAAAAAAGGTTTATTTGTTCAAACAGCAAAATTCTTCGTGCAATAAGTAAGCATTTAATATAAAATCGATATTTTGTGAGTAATAGAGAAAAAGATGAGTGTCCGATCCATTAACAATCCAAAAAATCTGATGCAACGAGTAACTCAAGTACAACTTGAATATCAATTGGAAATTCAGGAATATCAATCGATGAACTGAACATAAACAAATTTCATATTATTTAATAGAAGAAAGTCATAAAGTCTTACTTTGTGTACTTGGCTTTATAGGCAAAATAGCGGCAAACATTTATGAGTACATGAGAAGGAATATCCTTTAGATAGATTTCATTTGGTTGTGATTCCGAATATTGTCCAGGGCCGCTAAGCATATTTTTTATTGTCGGTGATGCAGTTATAGCGAAATCACGGCGTACAACAAACTCATGCCCATCGGATGAAATTAATTTTAAATACATAGAATCAGGTCCTTCTAATCCACCATAAAGATTCGGTGGTGTAGCTGACGACGCTGTTACACCAGCAGTATCTGTAGGCATCGTAATAGATTTCTTTAATTATCTAAAATAAATATAAAACAATAAGACATTTGAACGCATAGAGTTTATCAATCGTTAACGACAAGAAAATGTTTTGTCGATCGAAATAGAACCATAGCTTGAATATCGGGTTTAGTCTTCGCTGACTCTGTCACTGGTTCAGATCTATCTACGAACTTGCATTCTAATCTACGATAGGAAAGTATGCATTGATCAAAGCGAAAGTAGCGAAACAATATAAGTCTCATTAGAAAACCTTCCATGTCGAATTGGGGATCATTCAGTAAATATTCCAAATCGAATTTAGGTTTTTGACCTCGATCATTAGCCAGAAGCAAAAACAACTTAAACTATACTCTGACTAAAAAAACAGCTGTTTATTCGTGGTTTCATGATCTGGAACTATAAATTTTCTCATTAATAATCTCGGACGCTCTTCTTACATAAAAGAAAAATAAACAAAGAATCAAGACTTCAGATAAAACTAAACGTCTATGTTGTGTTCATTATTTTCTCATCAATAAAACTACCGATCGACAATGGCATGGGTTCGCATCCATAGTTTCCTACTCTGGTTAATATTATTTAATAAAGATATGCTCACAGGATGTTCATTTCTTTAGATAGAAAACAAAGAACATAAATATATTAAATGTATGATATTTATTTGAATTGTCAAGAGAGAAAAAAAAGAGATAATCTCCAGTATTACAAGAGAGAAAGAAAATGCGTACAGAACAGTCATGAGAGAAATACACACGCACACACACTTGACAAAAAACTCTTCTGCGGTTGTACACGAATAAAAACCAAACAAAAGGATAGATAGCATTTTGTGGCAAAAAAAAAAAGAAAAAAGTTTAAGAGAAGAAAAAGAAAAAGAAACCGCACAAGTATCTATAAGGTAAATACGAACGAGAATCACTGTTCTAGTAATGAGTTTATTAATGTATAATTTAAAATATACGAGAAAGAAAAAAAAAAGAAAAGAGGACTAAACATAAACACAAACACACTATTCAGTCGCGAAAGAGACAAAAAAAAAGAGAATTGCGAGAGAAAGAAATTTTGCCTAAAAAACAATCATACGCGCACAGCATCAGTAGCGACTAGATTTGATGAAATGAGATAGAATATATATATATATATATATACGATTTGTTTTTCTGTTGATTCATGTGTCATTATTATGCACGCGCATATTTTTCCAAATAGTAATGATCTCTATTCTTGCTCTTCTTCTTCTTGATATGTATACAATAAAAAAAAAGAAAGAAAGAAAAAGAATATGAGACGAGACACGCGCGTCACCGATGTGTTCTATGCAAAACAACAAAAAAGAGAACGGGCTTGAAAGAAGAGCAATAGAAGAAAAGAAGAAAAAAAATCAAATGACTAGAATTATTTTCGGGAGAAATATTTTGTTCATATACATATATATGTTTATCTCAGACCAGCTGAAACGAGAAAAAGAAAAAAGCAGATTTCAACCTTTTGAGTCATCATCTACATCAGGAAAAAAGACACTTGGCTCTGTATTTCGACGTTTGATTTTAGATTTACGTTTACGAAGCATTGTTGCCTAAATATTCAATTATAATAAATTAAAGAAAATATTTCTTTCGTTTTTACTTTGAGTGCAGATCGAATGATAGTTATGTCGCAAGGAGGTTGAAGCCAAGGTTCACCATCAACTTGTACTGGAACTGGATAATCATTGTTCATTCGAATATGAACCTTCAATAGAAAAAAAAAATATTGATTTATAATTCTTATGCTTTTCTTCGTTTTCGAATCTTACATGTCCACCCTGAGCAAGTCGAACACCGGAACGAATACCCGATTGAATTTGTCCAAGATGCACAATACCAGTAACACCAACTACTTCTAACATTCCATCGTAATGTGTTGGCCGATTAAATTTCTCATCTTTTTCATGTCCCCATAAATTGGCTCCGCTTGCCCAACTAAGTATGTTCATAATAACAATGCCTTCCAGTTGTGGTAGATCTACACGTTTGCCATCAACTTCAACTACAATATCACGTGTAAAATCTTTTAAACCACCTTTCTTCATCATTTTTCTTATGCCAGTTTTAAGATAATAACCTTTTGCTTGAATTCTATTTTAAAAATAAATAAATAATTAATTATTAAATGAATTCGAAAAATACAAACCGGCTATTAAATTTATTTGGATTTTCTTCTCGTGCCATATGAAAATCCAAACATATATCAGCATCAAGACCGAGACCGAAGTAATTATTCATAACAAACATTTCTGTTTTATCTTCACTTGTTGAACCTTCTTGTGAGACAAGCTGAAAAGAAGAAGAAAAAAATCGTCTTTTTTATACATAACTATTTTCAATAGAATGAGTTATTCAACTTGCGCATATAATCATATCTCATTTTTTTCAGTTTAAATAATATTCGAACTCATCATTCTTTAGTCATTTAAAAAATCTATTCATCATCCTCTAGTTATAAATACATTTGTCTTCGATTGTTATCCTAAATCTATTTTCTTTTTGAAATCAATAAACATACCGGTACTGTAATTGATGGCGGTGGTAAATTAAGTTTTCGTATATTTTTTCTATTTTCTTCTGCTTTTCTTACAGCTGACGTTGATTTTCCACTATTAATTTCTGGTACTGTTGGTAAACGTTTATCTTGATCTTGGTGAAAAACCACAGTCCAACGATCAAGTTTAATTTCTTCAGCTTCAACAATATCCCTGAGCAATGCTAAAGGTTCTTCGCCACCTGCATAACCTGATCCCCAACGTAAAACACGTGCTAAATCATTTCCGGTACCAAGCGGAACAATACCAACAGGTGGCGATTGACATAAAGCATCTTGTCCAACATTATCTAAACAACTCAATACCCAACCGACAGTTCCATCGCCACCACATGCTAATATACGATAATGTGGAATATTACGAAATACATAAAGACCTGGTAATGGTCCACCATTTTGTAAATCGAATACTTGATGTGGATTAAGTAAATGACGAAAATTAGTTATTAATTCTGCTCCTTGTTGTCCACCTGATTTAACATTAACAAAAACAAGTAATGGACTAATATTCGATGATATAACTTGTGGTTGAATATTCGGTAACATTAATACTAATAATTGTTTTTGATCATGATATGCTTGACGTAAAATAGTATATGCACGTGTTGCACGATCACTATCATTATAAACTAAAACCATTGCCCCATGTTCATAATAAATGACATCCATATTATCCCATTTTAAATCTTTATTAGATTTGAATATATCTTGAAAGAGAATTTTTTCATATTGTTTTTCTGTACGAGGTCCGGGAGGTAAATTGCCGACAAATAATGAAACAGATGGTCCGTGTGGATCATCTTTGTGTTGTAAATAAAAACGTGTTACACGATGACTACGAACAGATTCCTTAATATAAGAAAATAATTAGCAAAAAATGATTTATTGACTATTGTTTTTATTTTCTATTACTTTTCTCTGTTGTCGTAAGACGTGTAAAGGATATTCATTAGGTTCTAGTATTCGATCTGTATAGTTAACATTCGAGATGAGTAAAACTTCGACCAGCGAATATTTTTCAGCATTTACATTCGTTAAGCCAAAGTCAGATAGAGCTTTAGCAATGACTTCGGATGTTGTACTTGATGATGTTACTTTAATTACTTTAAAACAATCATGTGTTCTATAGAGTAGAAAGAAAAAAACAAACCAATGAGAAAAAATATTTTCTTTAGGCAAAAATCAACATACTTAAGAATGCCAGGATAGACTCGAACATAATCGAAATCCATATCACCTCGTTCTTTATATCGAATATATGTATTGAGTGTACGGCCAAATGTTTGTTTGAGAGTTTTCAATGGTGCTATTTCATCAAGGGGTTGATCGCCACCAACTTTAGAAGAAGGGAAAAAAATAAGTAAATCTTATGAAACGTTTTCTCTTACCATCATCTGTGGGTATAGTAATGCAATATTTTGTGCAATCATCATTAATATGGAATGTACGGAGTGCAGCCTCCAGGATTTGGGTATAACTCGCTTGTTTAGGAACGGAAATAGAACGGGGAGTGCCATTACGATATGTTGCATTACCATCATAAACTTTGATTATTTCTAAAACCAAAATCACAGATAAGTTTTTAAATTGTTCTTCTACTAATCTTCGAAAGTTCTTGATAGAAAGAGAAACTCATTGCGATGTTTTCTGTAAACGTTTTTATGTTGTGCTCAATGGTTTCTTTAGGAACTGAACTTGAAAGTCTAGAATAGTTGTTTACTAATGTCAGTGGTCGAATGAACGGAAAAAGTTCTCATATACAAAGCTTTTAAGATTTTATTTATAATCTATGAGCACCAAGCATCGGTCTTTAAAATTTTGATCTAGACACATAGCTTGTTTTTTGTATGTTTTGATTGAAATCGTAAAAAATTACCTCGTTCTTCTTCTTCATCTTGTTGATTTTTATTACTCGGTTTCACATGTTTCGGTTTACCAGATTGAATTGTCATATTTTCCATTTGCACATTTCCACTTGCATATGTTTCTGCTGCTCGACTTCGAGGTTCTTTTTCGGTAGAAGCAGGTCCTGCTTCAAGATCACCGCCTGATGGATGTTCTGTCGATGAACTTCGCACTACAAAAAACAAAACCAATTGAGAAAAATTATTTAAATAATCTTTTTTCTTTTGTCTATGAAAGGGGAGACTCTTGAAAACAAATAGTGAAGTCTATATTCATGCAAGCATTTAAACTAATAATGAGAAGAAAAGAAAATATTCTAAATATTTGATTTATCTAGGTGTTTAGTGGTACCCCTATTAAAGGGCCGTTGTAATGTTAATCGATTCGATATTCTTGATGGATTCTTTTTTCTTGGTAAAACAAATGATGACTGTCGTTGTAGGCCTTGAACACTCGATGATTTTGATGTTTCAGACGCTATAAGAATAAAGTTTCGGGTGCACGGAGAATAAATATTTATATATGTTTGTGAAAAGAGGAGAAAACAATACGACAACAACAAAACTAGAATCATAATTGATATTTTTTTTCTTGTCTACTTACTGATTAGGCCTGCATTTTTTGAATCAGTTGTACTTGATGAACCAACAATAACATAATCTGATGTTTGTGGAATTGAATTATTATTTGATGTATTCTGGATTGGTTTGGACATATTATTACCAATACCTAATATAAGATCTTTATTAAGATCAGCTATGCGGGGAATTGATATAGCATATGGTGGGATGATTATATCTCTTAGTGTACCAAAGCCACATTCTTCGGGTACGCGTGAACGGCATGTACTATGCGTCTGAATGATTATAAGAAAATACAGGTATTGTTTTGTTTTTGAAAGCTTATTAAATACATACTGTTATTCCACACCATTCACATCGCATGCCGGAAAGACATTCACTGGACCAACATGTCTTTCGACATATGGCACATTTAGAATTTGTTGGTAAGTTTCCTTCGCGCCAATGATGATGATGACGCACAGGGGTTGTTGACTAAAAATTTGAAAATACATTCAGATTGAATACATTACATAAAAGTTTATAGGCAAAAAATGTATTAAAACAATTCAAGACTTCTGCATGGACAAAATATGAAAAAGTTACAAGCGGTCTAAATATTTATTTTATAAATAATAATGGATTGGTTTTAGAAAAAACACCTCCTTTGAATATTTGCACCGCCTTGTCAACTAAACTGTGAATCATTTAAATCGGACTTTCAATCTCTTTGGTTTCATTTTCTAGTTGCTTGTAAATTCACACAAAATTTCAATTTCTTTCTAATTTAATCGTGGAAACATTTCTTTTGCAAAGAAAACTCTCATTACTTACATTGTCTCTGGATGGTACATAGGTAGCTGTTTCGCGACAGTCATTAACAGCAAAATCTTTGCAATCTTCATGTGCATAATATTCGCATACTATAAAAAAAGAAGATAAACAATAAAAAATGAATTCCTATTAAATTAAAAAACAAAAAATCAAACACAATGTTCGTCATTCATTCAAGTTGTTAGTAGAATCAATCGTGTGGTTTTTTTTTTTTAGTTTTTTTACCTGATATTTTATATTATTACTTTTTTTTTATTCTGAACACAATACAAGACACAGCAATACAATATTGAATATAATGATTTATTTTTTTATCTTTTACCTTCACATCGAACAGCTGAGAAGTCTTCGAGTCGTTTTCGACATATATTGCAAAATTTACGTTTAAACCGGGATATATCCGACCATATGTGACACACGGGATTCTATGGAAAAATAATTATAAAATTAAAAAAATTTGGTCCCCTTTTTTTTAACTATATCATACTTTTATAAGTATAGGTGCAATGCTTGAGCATGGCGATATGACATATTTTCGACAACGATCGTGACAAATAAAATTGCATACTTGAATATAAGAGATAAATAAATAAATAAATAAATCTAAATATTTTAAATAAAAATTTTACCTTCGCAATAATATCCTTGTCCAATAAGTCCCCATAACATTTCGACACAATGATGACAATATGTTGGTTTATGAAAGGTTTTTTTAACAAAAAAGTGTCCATAATTTTCATATGGTTGTTGATTTGGATATGTACAATCAGTGTTTAATGATAAAGATGATGGTTGTTTATTCATTGTTGTTACTGGTTCAGTAGATAAATTGTTTCCATCACAAAATGCTGAATCTTCGTTATCACCGCTGACAGCTGATGGATGATACCAAGGAGATGCCGACGAGCTCATCATCGATTGATCTTGGTATGTTGTAGTGCATACAGATGATGTTTTATTACCGACTAGAGATGAGTTATTCGAATGAAAAAACGAATATTTTGTTTGTTGATGATTTTGGCCAGACCCGGCCATTAACATAGACGACGTCGTCGACGCATAGTCGATCTTAAAAATAAATGAAAAGATAGATTTTAAATAAGAAAAATTAGCGACGAAGAGTTTTAGTTTTCTATCATCTATTTGATGTGTTTATTTGTTTGTCGGAAATTTTCTCCGAATCGACATCATCAACGGCCATGATGAATCTTAAGCTAATATGAGACTCTACTCAAGATGTTCTTCGAGAGTTTTATGTTTGTTTGTCAATAGAAACAAAAATGAGATTTCTTAATCGCATAAAAAGAAATAAAAAAATATTTATATCATTTTAATTTCTCTAGTTAAATATTTCAGGTTTTCAATGTATATATGTTTATAGATGTCACAAGTAGTAGTTTTAGAAATCTATTTTAGTCTTACATCAACTATGATGATGTTGATCACTATAGGGAAGAGTTTAACAAACACAATAGCAATTAAAAATAAAAAAATTTCATATTGATAAATTTACAATAAGAGAACTAATCAATTTCTAATATTTTATTTGACCACAAACAATTAGAAAGCTTTTCATTTTTTGTTACGTTGAAAGTGTGCGCCTAATCAGTAGTACAAAAACATGTTGCATGAAAATAGACCGTGTACAATGCTGTCTTCCCATACTTTCGTATCAATATATATATATGTATTTCCATACGATATCCAGTTGAATTAACGAAGCAATCAGGTAGCTAAAAATGGCGAAGATGTATCGGAGAAAAATTGTTGGCATCATTCTGTATGAATGAAAGAAATTAAGTGCATCGATAATGATTGTTATTAGTAACAAAAGGGATGTTCAATTTAGATTTCGGAAACTCATATGATTTGAGTACGAGAAATTATATTCTTGAAGAATTTTTTGATCATTTGCATTTTTTAATCAAATTGTTTTTTTTTATAGGACTATTTAGATTTCATATTCAATTAGTTTGGTTAATTTTCGTTTCTTTAGGTATTCCAACAGATAAATTGCCACTGATAGATAGAAACTTGATTAGCAAGGCAGCTCAACAAGTGACCTCTGTGTAATTGTTATTGATATGTAACAGACGCCATACTCATTGATAAGAATCCAACGGATTGTTGTCTACATCGAGAGTAAGCAGAAAATATGCAAATGTAAGATGGCGCCATATTTATAACCTGAACTCATTTAAATAAATACATTGGTACTATAATAATTTATCTACGCTAATGAGCAATGTTTTTAAAGTCCTGGATTAATTGTGTCCTAAATGCATAAACGGATTCGATTTAGGAATGATTCATTTTTCGGCAGAGAATATTTTGATTGGTGTACAGACTTTTTTTGATACTTCACTTCTTTTTATTTATTGAATCGAATTGAATCAACTAAACAAGATGATTATCCGAAATGCAACTGTAAGTTAATTAACTAAAATATGAACATAAAGTTTAAAAGAAAAACATAAATTCTCTTTTAGCCGGAAGATTTAATTAATATGCAACATTGTAATTTACTATGTTTGCCAGAAAATTATCAACTTAAGTATTATTTTTATCATGGGTTATCATGGCCACAATTATCTTATGTGGCAGAAGATGATAGTGGAAAAATTGTTGGTTATGTTTTAGCTAAAATGTAAGTGAATTCATCTGGAATTGTTTTAATTATTAAAGGAGCCCTTTTATTTTAGGGAAGATGATGGTGGTGAAGATACTATTCCTCATGGTCATATAACTTCATTGGTAATATATTTCAAGGTGAAAATTCTCGTGTATATTTTTTTATTTTCTAGGCTGTTCGTCGAACACATCGTCGTCTTGGTTTAGCTCAAAAACTCATGGAACAAGCAAGTCGAGCCATGGTTGAAAATTTCAATGCAAAATACGTTTCATTACATGTACGTGTTAGTAATCGAGCTGCTTTACACCTTTATCAAAATGCGCTCGGTTTCGCGTAAGTGATTTTACGGGAAAAAAGACATTAAAGTCAATTCGGATCATTTCTCAATAGAATACATGATCGTGATCCACGTTATTACGCTGATGGTGAAGATGCATTTTCCATGCGACGTGAACTTACCTTGGCTACGAAAGTATGTGAAAGAAAGAAAGTGAAAAATATTTATTCATGTGATTTTGTTTCTTTTAGGCATAATAACAATCAATTGATCATTGTTGTTTCTAGGATGATTTTTCAGTTCCTCATGCAACGTGTGTTTATTTAACTAACAAATAAAAGACTTTTCATTTTGAGCAAGTTATCATTTGCATATCTTTTTTCTTCGCAGCTTTTATACGCCTGTCTACAATTTCTTGAGCAATGGTTAATTGTAGATCGTGAGAATTCAACAGTTGAATAACCTTGAAATCAAATGTAGTGTTTGACTATATAAAAATAGTTATTTATTCTAAGATCATTTTGAATATCTACCTTAGTTCCATGGCTGTACATATGAGATGCTACTTTGTTTTGAATGAGTTGTTCATTGTTTTGCTGTTGAATTTGTTTATATTGATGTCATTGACATCATCGAAAGGGATTCTTTATTTTATTTTTTTTGACGTCATTCTGTTGTTGTGCTAGTTTTCCATTCTGTCTCGAGCATATGATGTACGTCATGTATGTATACGAAACGGAAGAATGCAGATTAGTCTTTCCGCCCTATCTTTTTTTGTTATTGTGTGTGGAGGGAAAAAATATAGAAGGTTCTTTCTGTCTTGTTCTATTACGCTGTCTCTTGTGTTTTTATTGTCTCTAGAATGATGTATTTATTTGCAGTGGCACTGATTGATTGATTATAGCTCGAAAAAAAAAACATTTTGTCGTCTAAACATCATAATCAAATTGTCTGGTCATTGCTTAGAAATAATAATTTTTCAATTTTATGATAACAAGAGGAAGAAAAAAATATATCTATTAATCAATCCATATTTCATCTTGAGGCTAGCCAGAAAAACAACATTTTATAATAGTAAAACAATATGTAAGAGATACTCAATTAATGAATAATCGAAGATTAAGTTGTTGTAATTAAATATGTGCAAAGAACTTTCTAGTGCTGCTTGTAAAGTGGAACATTTTTAAGGAAAGGAAAACATTCCACTAGCAAATTTTGAATAGAAATATTTTTTCTATAAGATAAGATTATTTGGAAAACTATGTTATTATTGACGTCAAGGATTTGAGCATCATTACCATGCCACCTAGTTTAATGCTAGCCACAAATCTAGTTGCTAACTTTGCATTTGATTTTTTCAACCTATGATAGTTTTACTAGGATGATAAAAGATTTTTTCAAAAAGAAAATACATATTCGAGTGAGTGTTAGTGTTTACTTTTTAATTCATATTTTCGTGATTTTTTTGATGTGCACCAGAGTTTTCTGTATTCATCTCTAAATTTATGTTGCAAAAAATAAACAAACAGAATAGTGACCAAGAAAAGAGATTTTTAATCATTCCCTAGCTGCTATTTTTTTCCAACTAAAATAAAATATTTTATAGAAATATATAACTCGTGAGAGTTGACTTGAAAAGAATGCACAATATAAATGAGATAATATTTCACAGCTATAATTCCTGATAAAAATATTGATATCTCAATTATTTCTTGGAATAGAAGATAGCATTTGATGGTTATGTTTTTGACAGTAACTGTAAAATAACGGCGTCAATATTACAACGGAATAGTAAGTTTTAAAATGGCAGGGGTGTATAAAACGGTGAAGCGAACCAACAGAAAACTGTCCATCAACGTATAGTATATATTGTGATGTGGAATTTTTCGATATCAATTTCGATCGTTCTAGCACGCGATCTAATGATATCTGAATTCGAAAATGTATGCTCTCTATTTTATGCATCCAGAAGAAGTTTGTTCATCCGACTATAAATAGTTCTTTCTATCAAATCCTTGAGAAGTCTTTACAAAACTGAATAAATAGCATTTCTATTAATATTTTAGGTCTACGTCATAAGCGTTCTATCCGTGGAAAAGCCATTTTGCTGGGGACTTCCAGCTTCAAGATTCATAGCAGACTTTTCACAGGCTACGCGTAGGAATAGTTTTCCTTCTTGTCAACTATCCTCATAAAATGCCTTGACAAACTTATTTCTTCTTGTAAATTTTAGTAATCATTTAGCCTAAAATATAAATTGATGTTGTTATCGATGCATTGATTACTTTCCTCAAACACTGAACAAATGTTTAATCTCAATGAGTGAGAAAAAAGTAGCAAATTCCGGAAAATATTGCTTGCTAAAGTCGTTCAACATGAGCGATCCAAAGTTTAGCAAGATTTGAGAAAACAACCGAAAATAAATTTGAAAACATGGAAACAGTACAGTTATAAATCATTGAACATAAAATCAGCAATAATGATTTTAATGCATTCAGATGAGAATATAATAATAATACACAGGAACCGCGAAAACGGGGGAGGGGGGTGTACACCCCCTCCCCCCAATAAAACGATTTAGCAAAGAATTGGGCAAAAATGAAGGATAGACCTATCCAACTTCCAGAGAACGCGCATTCTAATTTTAAAATTTTTGATTTTTTGAGGTTATTATGCTTATGTGTGAAATAAACTAATAATCATGTTTTTTTGTTTTCCTTGTCATGAGTTTGCTCGAAAAATAAAGTATTTTAATTGAACAACCTAACTGTGGTGTCGTATTAAAAAATTTCACTACGAGTACGTCTCTTAAAGTTTTTTACACTTTACNAACTTTTTTACACATTACCACCCCCCCCCCCCCAAATCTTAGACTCTTCTTCGAGCGGCCCCTGATAATACATGATAAGTGAAACAAGGAAGAAGTTTTAAATAATGTGTAGGAAAATGAATTTTTTTCTGTGAAGTGATCAAGTACAATGGCTGGTTTTATGTTTTTTGTTACTATAGTGCGAACAAAAGGTGCAGTTTTCAATGTTTAACAAAAATGATTAATGATCATTATCAATTACTTGTGAGAATGTGGGTTTGATAAGAATGAAAATTTTCCCCATACAATGCATTGTATGGCGTATGAAGTTACACTCGTATAATTACAAAGATTTGGGATCAAGGAGCACAATCGAGTGATGTGAATTGATGAGTCCTATCTGAATTCCGTGTGTTTTATTAATATTTTGAAAAAAAGAAGAGTTACATAACGGGGAGAAAAAGAAAAAATTCAAACAGTAGCATCTCTTTATCTTATTCAGAAGCTTCCAGAAGTGAGAAATACGCGTGATAGAAAGAAGAAGAAAGAGTTATTTTCTACAATCGAAGAGATAAGAATGTTTATTACGCTTAATGAGACCAACATTAAGAATCCCGACGATTTGAATATGTGAGTTGAATAAGTAGCAAAAATGTTTTGTGCGAAATTTACAAAACTTATGATAATAGAAATAGTGTTATGCTCATGTTTCTTTAAGGTATATAAACCTATCTGAGGCTAGTCTTCTTAAAATTGGATATTGCTTAAAAATCAAGAAGGATATGTGTTTCATTCTTTGATGAAGTTCAAATCGAAGTAGAATATTCAGAATTAACGTAAGGATATTAAAGTGAAATACAAAGACGATGATTGTTGTCGAAATAAATTGGTGTAAATATAAATCAGCTAGTTAATTCAGATACTTTATCGAGTTCTACGATCAAAGGATTTTCATCAAGGCTCATAGCACAGATCGAGTAGTAAGCCTTTCCAGAGTTTTAAGGTTCTGTCAGTATTGAATATGAGCGTTTCTTGTAGGTATAAAAACTCTAATAGAAAGATTTAAAGTACAAGTAGTCATGTACAGTTGCTAGTGCTATGCATTATTTCTTCAAAATTTTCTGTTTTCATCTGTTGATATATTAATTAGATTCATATCAACTCTTTGCATCTCCAGAAACAAGAAGATGTGGTTTGAGACGGCTGAAAAGCTTTGAGAAAAACTTCTGATTAGCCTAAATAAATTCTAAAATCGATGACCTGTAAAAGCAACATGTTGTACTCAAGAGTTTTCAGATTTTCAAGGTTACTGCTGATTGTTTCTCACGAGAGACAACACAACATTGATTGTAACTCATATGAAAAATCGGCAGACTCTCGAGTCGGGTGATTTCAGTTGGGTAGTTCCATTGATGTCTGCTATTATTTTTGGCAGAACCAGCTGATACACATTTAAATGGAGAAACACATTTGCCGAGAAGGTATGCGTGGGCAAATGCATTTATATCTATATGAATATATGCCTATATATAATATATATCTATATAGGATTGCTAGTTCAGTCACTCAGCCGTTTACAAGTGCGCCAGTGGAAAGTAAGTTACATTAAAGGGACGTATGGTGCGTATAAAACTAAATTTGCAGTATTTTATCTATGGATATAGTTTGATAGTAATGCATGTAGATATTACTGTCGTCATTTAGTATCGCACGCATCTAAAAATGTAATTAGCTCAATCAGCATCTCTATAAATCAGTTAATGTGTGAACATTATGATACGAGTCTCACAAATAGCAGACTTGATTGAATTGATTCCATTGCTCTTCGCACAGGATCCGACTATCAAAATCATGAGAATATTAAAACTGTATTCTTGACCAGATGCGATGTGTATCCAAAAGTTTTCAAGGACTAGAAACCGATTAGAAAAACTTTTACTGCAGCGCCTGCCATATCTCGTGTATTTTCTGGTCAGTTTCTTTGATTGATCGACTGCATCCAATCATTTTCATAAGGCTTCAACGGGTGTTTTGCTCATTTTTATTCTCATTCTTCTCAATTACAGGACGTGATGACTAGTTTCAACGTCACAAAAATGTTGGAAAAACTGTTGCGTCTAGTGCGATGTCTGTCATGAGAGGCGGACTTCTTTTGTTTTCCTATAACTTTCCAGCTGCTTCTCGTTGGAAGATAAGAAAAATACCTCGAAATGGCATCGTTTCCACATGGATCTTATTGAGAGCATTGACTTGAAATGTTGTATACCAAACAGCCACTGAATAGCTAATTAAGTAAATACAGATATACTAACTTTTTAGAAATCAGTTGGCATACTTGCATTAAAAGTCAGAATCTCTGGTTGTAATCAGAGACGATTGGTGTCACTTGCAGCAACACTTTCAAAGCTTTTTGATATAATTATATAGGAAAAAGTTAGATAATGGGCAGGAACCAATACTTGCGTTTGATACGGTACAGTGTCACATAGTCTTTAGGTGGAGTAAATCGAAAATATCTCATGCATTTGTTATTGTACTAGAAAGCAGTGGTCTGACTCCTTGGTTCTGCACTATTTTTCAAAGATCTCCATGTACTTATATCTTGGCTCATAATTTGTAAACTAGTACAAGAATTGAAGAAAACTTCTAAATTTTTTTGCAGTAATGGTGACAAGTTTTTCATTCGCGAATACAAAATTTAGTACTAAGAGTACCTATGGAGGGCCGAAAAAGTATAAATAGCTAAAAGAATATAGACATTTACGTTTTTCTTAGATACATAAGTTGTTCGTTTTCACGAACAATAGAGAAATCTCTATTAAAATATGTGTTTTCATTTTAGCTTCTCTCTTTTTTTGGCTTAAACTTTCCCAATATATTCGATTCTCATAAAAAAAAAGAACCTGAAAATACTAAGTTTAACACAATTTGAGAACAGATTGCAAGGAATTTTCTTTAAATAGCAAATGAACTTTTATTAACAGATTATGTCGAACAATATTTCAACAGTAAACAAGAACTAATGAATAGCTTATACTTAGATCGCTAAAGGTTCTTTTTACAAAGGCATATTTTATGATGATTTATTTTGTATGATTAACACTAAATCTATTTCTTACGGATACAATGTACGCAATTAACTCGTGAATCACTCTTTTTGCGGTGATTGTGCATTATGAGCTATGCGGAATTCGCCATACTTTACTTGGCGCTTTGTCTTTTTCTTTGATTCTCCTCGTCACTCCCTCCAATTATTCGTCAGAATTTTTCTCTTCGTTATATTTTATTTACCAAACGTCCCATCATACGAATATATTTCTTCTCATATTCCTTCTTATTTTGCATGATTTTCAACTGTGCCCATGCAAAACAAACGACTGAAAATACTTCTCTTAGTTCTTGTAAGCATTTTTTGATTAAAACAATCAGCAAACAAAGTTAAATAAAAACAAACATAATCTCGTTGGTCGGACCTCGCAATTTTCTTTTGTTTTTGAATATCCTACAGCTTCTATAATATTTTTTTTTCTATTTATAGTACTAAAGTATTTCTGACGAGTTGTTATTGTTTAAATCAAGCGTTTTGGTAGAATATTTTGTTCGTATATAGTTTAATCAAACATTGCCAGATGCGTGCCATTTGCTTTTTTTTTTATCTCATTCAATGCGATATTTCATTTTACATTAGGTCCAAAGTACGATAGCACTTCTGGAAAATATTATCAAAATATATTTAAAATTATGCTAGTCTTGAGTGTGTTGACAGCAGACTGCATAATCAATTTCATAAGATTAACAAAACCACATCCGTTGCCTCTATCCTATATAATCGTATGTTGCCTAAACATTCTTTCACTAATCATACAAGGTAAGGTGTTATCTATAGATTTTAATCGATTAATTTTAATTAAAGTTTATTAGTAACAGTTTTCCGCTTGGTAAACGCTAATCCGGCGAATGAGCAGGTTTGATAAAAATCTATTGGAGCAAAATATTTACCCTAGTCGGTTTGATTATTTTTATTCGAGACACGATATTGAATACAAACAAGAAATAGCCCGTTGCAATACGCGATTACTGTGCATACGAGAGGAAAAAACACTTCTTTTTTTTTCGTTATATATTATCCAAGCTGTGCGATAAAAAATAAAAACTAGGAGAGATATACAGTGAGACTAGCCACACTCCATATATTTCGATATACATAATAAAAACAGTTGTCGACTGATTTCGTTACTCCTATCCGACTACAGATATAAACGAACATTGTAGTCATCTGAAAATAGTCTGATTGGCAGCATTGAAAGCGTGCTATTCAAAATTACGTGAGCAATTTTCATGAGAAGACATGTGCTTTGTTTTTTTGGATATGACAATTTTATTAAACTTGCTCTAATCATTTGAATACAATCAAGTATTGGTTAAAGCCTGTCAGATTATGATAATGATAAGACAATGATGATGACAAGTATTTATGACAAGCGAGCATTAATAATAATATATTTATCTTGTTTTTCTTTTGATATCAAGTTGAAAATGTGAAATCATTAGAATCATTGCTTTCGTAGACTTTCTTCTATGTCTAAAATACCAAGATAAGTAAATAATACCCAGTCATCACCCTTTTCTTTTTCTGATCAGTTAGATTTTTTTTTCTATGTATGTTCGCGTGAGACGAAAACAAATTAAATCAAACAAAACAACAAAAATAAAGAAGAACAACAAAGAAAGAAAAGCTACCTATTAGATATTCTTTGCTCTTTTTGAGTTCACGCCCATACGAATGAAAACTAGCTACTTGAAGATGTATTTATTGGAAGGGAGAGAAAAGAGTGATATGATAGAAAATAGGTAACTGCTTTCTCTTTTCTCTCTCTGGCTTCCATTGCTAAGCATTCAATGCCGCGAACGTAACAGAAGTTTTTACTCTTTCGTCTGATGATGAGGCGCACAATTTTGCTCCTGTTAACCAAAAAACTTTTCTTTTCAATTAAATGTTTTGCCTTTTTGTGTTCTTTCGATTTTAGATCAATGAAACTCTTCTGGATTTTCAATAGAATGTTAACTAAATAAACGAATCTTCACAATGATATATATCAATTACATAGTTCTCATACATTTATTAACTTTAATTTGTGCACAATTACCATCATGTAAGTAATACAAAGAGAGAGAGAGAGAGCGAAAAATTCCTTCTTCACGTGTTTTGAGTATGTATTCATTTATATCTATTATTAAACTGATTCCCCCATATGTGATAGCATCATTTTACAATAATGCAACGGTCTGTTCTTTTTCTCGAATGCTCGCGCAAATTGGAGTAATAAAAAACCCTATTATTATTGGTAGGAGTATGCTGTCGAGTTCAGTCGAGTGTACTTAACTCAGGTATACATCTGGTCAGTTAACAGATAGATGACAGTTGATTCCTGTCATAATAAATCCGAAGTGATAAAACTCAGTAAACAAAAAGCTAATTGTTTTCTGTATAGAAAACATCACCGGATCTAACGAATAAACGATGCTGAATTGTTTTTTTTACTCACACAGATAGGTTAGGTTTCGGCAATAACTCATCGAAGAAATAGATCAATACTGTTTCATTAGAGAAAAAATATATCTAATTGTTATCAGTGTAATGCTCAAGGATTTTGATGGTATCAAATAAATTAATACTATTTAATATTGATAACATAAATAAATTTCGATATATACTTATGTTTACATGTTTAATTATTTTTTAAAGTTTACTTCTTAATACCTTCAATTTAATTCTCACCTTGAGCTTTTCATTTTGAAAACTATGATTTAAATAACCTTTACTAGGACTTATAATTCATTTATTTAATCAACGATTTTTGTTGTTCGTAATCTGGTATTTCGCACCAACAAACCACCTATAAATGATAATTCTATAGCAAAATAAAAGTTAATCTGTTCTGTTTTTGTTTTTTGTTAAATCTCTTTAGCCAGTACTTCTCTACTACCGGTATACAATCCAACAACTCGTTGTCATCACCTGACTCTATTTGATCAAAATCTTACATTTGCTCTTTGTTTTCAACGTACATCAGAGAAACAACATCCACATAACCATAATTCTGCATCGAAATTTTGTTCAACTAATTATCCGCCGGATGGCCATTCAGTTGATTTATTCTCTTTATCTTCATCAACGATCGATAAACTTTTCCAAAGTTTAACTAATCTTTACAACGTAAAAAATTCTTATATAGATCCACCCAAACCAAATTATCTATGGATAGGATCAAGTAAGCTGTAATGATCAGATTATTTTCAAAATGAAATTTTAGATTTCACACAGACTTTAACAAATAATGAATTTTGGTGTCCAGAGCAATGTCGCGAAAACAATGAACCACAAAACTTTTTAATAATTAACATACGTTGCCCATATAATAATGTTAGTAAACCATGTGTATCGACAAAAAGTCTACATTGGAAACGTGCTCCATTTATTTGTTTAACCAATCAAGCGATAACCATCGAAAATCAAATTTCATTAGAACCTATTCATGTTACACCAATTTATTCAAGTAACATTTTTTTTTCTTCTGGAAAAATGAGAAAACCAACCGATAGAAAATATTTTAGATGACACCATTGTTTTCTATGATAAAAATTCCTGTTTAATTGTTCGTACAAGAACGCATCAATATACATTTTGTTTTCGACGTCAATCATGTTCGCATTCAAAAAACAGTGCATTTTGTACTGCCCGACATGATGCAAGTCGTATATGTAAACATGAAAAAAACGGTTCAAATCTATTGACAATAGAAAACGATGATGAATATCAACTTGTATCTGATATTATTTCTCGTTATTCAAATGAAACAATACTTAACGAAGATGGTATTCTAACAAATAAACGTAATTCGCCTGCACAATGGATGTGGATTGATGGAGTGAAAAGTAAAATAGTGTTTGTCAGGAAAATTTCGAAAGAAAATGTTTTTTTTTCCATTCATATAGGTTCTAATAATACTTATCGATGGTATACCGATGATAATGTTGAAGCAACAATTACAGACAAGTACTGGTGTGATAAAATCGTGAATTGTTCAGGCGGACGAGGAAATGATCACGTCGCATTGAGCATCAGTTGCCAAGCGAATAGCAATAGCCTACAAGCTTGTCTAGCGTCAAAACGACGATCAGAACCAGCACCATTTGCATGCAAACGGACACTAAGAAAGAACGAAGGCAACGAAACTCGGTTGTAATTCGATTATTAAAATGATAAAGATTTTCTTTTTCTAGACGTCATATTGAACTATACTCTTCTTCGAAGTTCAACTCCTGCTACAATAGAATCGACTCCTGCTACAATAGAATCGACTCCTGCTACAATAGAATCGACTCCTGCTACAATAGAATCGACTCCTGCTACAATAGGATCAACTCCTGCTACAATAGAATCGACTACTGTAACACCAGTTTATGAAAAAAGTTAATTTTGTTCATTTCTATTTTCATTTCTGATTTTGTCTGATAAATTAGATGAAACATCGATTTACTATGACGAACATCATTGCTTAACTGTTCAAACACGTTCTCATCTTTATACATTTTGTTTACGCCGACAAAATTGTACAGCGACAAAAGCCTACTGTACAAAATGGAGCCAAGCTCAAAACGATTGTAAAACACTGAAAAAGCAAGCAGATTTATTAACGATCGAAAACGATCAAGAAAGATCATTAGTCACAGATATAATTCAAAATTATTCACATGAAACACGTTTAACATTCAACGGTAGTTCATACCGATTTTATCATTCATCAGATTTTGTATGGATTGATGGAGTACTACAAGGTTATTGAAATATAAGAATTTTCAAAAAAGAAAAATCTTTTTTTCTTCGTCATTTAGCTGATTCTCAAAGATATTTATGGAATAATGCACGTGAACCTATACCAGAACATTTATGGTGCCCGAAAAATGAATGTAATTCAACTCCTCATGATCGTGTTATGTTAAATTTAATGTGTCATAAAAATAACTCATTAGTCTGTTTGGGTACACGTACCGAATGGCATCCAGCACCTTATATTTGTAAACGTATACGAACCAAAGATCGTAAATATAAATTTTAATTTAAATCTGTGAAATTATTGTTTTATCATTTTGAAATAGAATGTCCTTTATTATTTGATAAACTTCTTTATATTCCTTCAAGTGAAATGATAATTATAGCAGTAAATCGAACGCTAGTATCCATTCAATGTAGACATCCGGAGTATTCTACAGAAATAAAACTGCAGTATCAATGTGATATTCAGACAAATCAATGGAGATTAATCTATGAAAATGATAATTTTACTTGCCGTAAGTTTTAGAAAATAAATATATTTGCAAACAAAAAAATAACAATTTGATTCTAGCTGTTTATGATATTCCTCCAATGATGACATCAAGTAATGAGTCCCAAACAACCGGTGTTACAAGTAAGAAATTTCTACTCACAATGCGATATGCATATACAGTGCATTACTCTAAGTATTAGCAGAACGTTCTTGAATTCAAGTTTTTTGAATGTCTCCACTGTTTTCTTCGCTTTTATCTTGAGATTCTATTATTCTATACCGGTATTCAATCATCTTCATACTTTGTGGTTAACACTAGACGAGAAAAATAACAATTTGATGAAAATAATAGTGACATAATAGTAATATAATACTGGTTGTCTGTCTCAAATGTCAATAGAATTAATAGTGCATGAAATAACAATAATTACTTTTTCTGTCTTGCCTCATTCATAGCTTCAACTCAAACGATATCTTCCGTGCCGAGTACTTCAAGTGCAATAAAAGGTACAGAACGAATAGACTAACTTCGATGTTAAATATTCAGAAAAACAAAATTTAGAAAATGATTGTTCACAATCGGAACTGACATCTATAATAAATAATTTACCAACTCAAAATCGTAATATCTATTCGCAAAGATTAAAATCCTATTCATCGTCGTATTATGATACAAGATTTAGATGTTATTTTAATGATTCAATTCAAATAACTTATCGATGTGATTTATCCAACAAACAATGGATCTATGTTCATGGATTTACAAGTAGTTTTAACAAGTGTCATTCACCGTGTAATAATGATGAACGAAATGCATTATTAAATAAATATTTTACAACAAACGAACAATCGAAAATCCGCGCAAAGTACATAGAACGAACCAAATCATTACGTTTATCATGTTTAAATATAATTGAAAATCGATGGAAATCAATTAGATATAGATGCGGTACAATGACAATAACAACTGCTCAGTGGTTTAAATTACATTCATGTTTTCAATCAACTGCAGTAAACACAACACAACCGCGTAAGTTTATTTTAAATTGTTATAGAAAGAAAATATTGAACTTGGAAAATAATCATATTCATAATATTTATTTTTACATCATCATAATTATTTGCAACATAACATCAAATTTACAAGGATAAATTTATTACAAGCGACATAGACATCTGAACTAACACTTTGCTAATAAAATAAAGCCAAATGTATAAGAAAACAAAATTTGATATAGTGTAAAAATCTCAAAATGTTATCATACAGATAGTTTTGTTATAGAATTTTTCAAGCCATTAATTCAATAGAACTTTGCTGACAAAGGGAAATCAACTTGTTTGCTATATTTTTTATTATTCGTATCCTATTAGTAGTGCTTTATTTTAGCTTTAATAGTTTCTATGTTGGTAAATCAAATAGTACCTCCATGTCCTCCAGTAGTAGCTCGTGGTAGCCGATGTGAGCGACAATTGGGCGCATATATAATAGATAGCAACGGATGTAAACGAAAAGTATGCCCATCACTAAGTAATTTATGCAATGTAAGTAAAATAAATTTTTGAGGCTTCATTTTACTTTCTCAATAATTTTCTTTCAGGCGATCAGTTGTCCATCGGACCGCATATGCCGAGTTATACCATGTCAAGCATGTATTCTAACTGATTATCTTCGGCCTGTCTGTGTGCATCTTAGTCGTACGTGATTTTTTGAAATATAGCTTTATTTGCTTTTTGTTTTTTAACCTTGACTAAAATGTTCAATTGACCAATTATTCATCTTTTTTACTATAGCTAACTCATCTGACGATGATTATTTATTTATCTTTAATAGAAATTTTAATTTCTATATCTATAAGTCTATGCTTTAATAATGCGACCGTGTGTGATTGTTTATTTTTTTAATTTTATTCGTTAAAGAATTTCCTTCGTCCTCTAGAAACCTCACTATGTGAACTTCAAAGACAATTAACTATATTAAATGATCCTGAATCAATTCGTCGTTGGGAACGTGAAGCGATAGCTGTCGTTCAGCGATATGCTAGTGAACAACTACTACGAATATCAATAAATTGATCTGTTTGTGACTTTTAACGATACTGAAGTTTTCTTCTGCTTCATACATTCTATCAAATGTTTTTTTTTTGTTAATAGTGAGAGTTATGCGTGTATTGTCCTATAGCTAAGAAATGATCTGAATAGAAAACAGTTTATTAAGTTACATAATAACAGAAACAATTATTTTTTTTAAATGTGTGTTATATCAGCGATATTTATATTTCTTTTCATTTATTTGAACAAAATAAAATAAAATAAATTGATAATTTTAGGAAGCCAATTAAATTTTATGGTTAATCAGATAAAGAATTTTCTCTGTGACTTCAATATTTCATTAACATTGTTTGATCATTTGAAGAAAAATCTCGTCAGAGATATTGCTGAGAGAGAAAAACAACAATAGTATCGCAAACATGATCAACGATTGAAGTTCTATACAAGATATTGAGTATGAATTAAAGTAGAGCAAAGGTAGTAGAAAACGTTTATGCAACAAAAAAGCTAGCATCATCGTTCATAGTAATCATAAAAGTTAATTATTTGAAAGCAGCAACTTTAATTATAAACGGCATTGAAAAACAGTCGTTTCGTTAGTTTTTTTTTAATGCGGTGCGAAGCATAGCATTCATGTAGTCCGTCGCGAGTTTTTTTTTTGTTTTTAACTTGACGCGTACGCATCAAAATAGTCATTTTCTTGTGCCATGATCTCGGGATTGAAAAATCATAGAAAATTCGTTGAAACGTGAGATCGAAGTATCAAGGTCGAGTCTTTACATCTGTTTTCGAATCTTTAGTCTATTCATTTACAGCTGATCTATGATAACGAATCATGAAGATAATTAATCGATCAATCGAAATCGATCCTTAAGAATGTATCGCTAAGTATGAATAGAGTTTCCTCAGTGATGAATTTCATTATGGTTACATAAAAAGTATTTAAGATTTCTCTGAATGGAAGTTTTTTCCTGAAGATCCGATTCGAGCTTTGCATCGGATTTCGTATTCAAGTGAAACTTGAATACCATCTAGTTTCTTTCTAACTTGAGTACGCATAAAAAATTCTCATTAAGTGACGCGATAATCTACAAAATCGTAATTGATAGAAGATCCATTCAAACTAGATATGACCGTTTCAAGATCGAACTTGTTACATCTATTTTCAAATTTTCAATACTAAGTTTCGTTCGCCTAAAAATATCATTCAAAAATGATGATTTTATATTGTTTTCTTCTCTAAGATTATGGTGATAATCACGAAAAAAACGTTTTCTCAGCAATGAATTCGATTATGATCACTTGAGAACTAAAAAAAAATGTAATGATTTTTTTGTTTTTAATTACAACTGCTGAAGACAGGAAAAGGTATATATTTCAAGCGAATATGAAACTAATCAGGCCATAACGATGTCTAATTAATTTTAAGATTGCTTGTTCCATTTCCGTTAAATTTTTTATTTTTTCGTGTACTCGACTCGTGCTTCGCACCGCATTTCGTATACGAGTGAAACTCGAATACCATCTAGTTTTAATTAGATGCCTCCTTTATTTTCTACTTATGTAGGCTAAATGATATAAAAAAATTAGTAAGAATCAATTTTAAATCAATGAGAGGAAAGTATTTCGCACATTGTTCGTTACAGTCGCAATATATACTTTACTACTAGATCAGAATATAAATGGGAAGAGTAAACGATTTTTTCTATTGTTCGGTGAAAGATTTAATAAAAATAAATCTTTATTACAGCTGTTTACCAATGTATCTAGCATGATTTTATTGTTTACTTGTTCTAAAAAGACATGGGATGTTATCAAAAATATTTTTGGATATATTTCTATATGTACTCCCGATGATTGTGCTCGTCAACGTGCCCTGCTCCATACTCTTCTACAATGGAGTCAGCGTGCTCAAGAACATAACATTCAATATTGGATTGCATATAAAACACTTCTTGGTTATGTCCAACGTGATGGTTTACTGCCACATGCTCTAAACCTTGATATTTTAGTAATGGCACAAGGTACATCGCATCTTGCTGAACTTTGTACATTAAATTTTTCATCCGATTATGAACTGAAACTTCATCCACAATGGTTTATTGTTGAAAAAACTAAGCGTTCGTATTTCAACCAGGAAGGCATCGATTTTGTGGAGCCTAATGCACGATTCATCAATCGAAAAGATCATGTACACATCAATATTTGGCCTATGTATGATTATAACCCGAATCAGACAAGAATAGAGAAGAATAGTCAACCTATGCTTACTGAATACGACAAAAATTATAAATGGAAATCATCACCAAAAGAATGGACATTCCCCGTTGCAGAAATGTTTATTGAGTGGAATCAAAGTATGGTGCCCAACAAATTCAAAGAATCTAGTAGCTCACATCTATGAAAAAGTGTCTGGTAATTTATCATCGAAAGCATGTGTTAATTGAGTATGGATAAAAATCAGCTGAATATAAACGGGAGAAGTCGATAATGAAAATGAGAAAAGAATCGTTTCGTTATAATGGCAATCCATCATAGATAAGCATTCATAACTTAATTCTTTGTAATTATAGATCGTTGACATTTTTCTCTTCAAAGACAATTTTAATAAGAACTGTTTATTGTTAAATTTAAAAGAAAATTATTAATCTGTGTTTTTTAGATTCCTGGCTAGTTAAAGACTTCTGATTATGTTTTTTTTGAACTATTAATAAAACGACTGCATATATTTTAATCAAGTCTTCGTACGTCAGCAAGTCAACGACGCACCATCGAACAATTCTATTAACAAAACAAAAAAACGATAGTAAATCGAAAAACAAAGCAACTATCAAATAGATAAAAGAAGAGGAAGAAAAAAAGAATGAATGCTGGTGGAAAAATAGCTTTATGTAGTAATTTTTTCTTTGAAATAGCCAACCAAAAGCTATACTCTAAGGTTGTTTATTTAGTAATTACTACACAGGCTGACACCGATTAGTACATACAAGTAACCTTGAATTCATATTCGAATAGGTTTTGACTTCCTAAAAAACATCATGCCAAGCATCAATCAGTTTATCATCATATGATTTAATTATCTATGATAAAGAAGAACTACCAGCTATTAAAATTTAAAAATCAAATTTTGTTTGAATAATGACTTTGAAATTCAATCGCAGATAGATACAAAGTCTTAATTCTAATCGATATTTCATACCTGATTTTTTTTCTGTCTATCTGAAATACGAAAAACTTGTAAGGAAATTTAATTTTTTTGTTTCAATTTACAGTTTATGATCTTTAACTGATCTATGATGTTATTGATTTATTGATTGCTGCATATTTGTAATCGTTGCATGCTGTTGAACAAGGATCAATAATGGCATTAGTGTAACTCATAGGTTACGAAGCTCAACTATTGAAATAATTCTTTAAAAAGAGCACTTCATTAATATCGCATTGTTCATTGTTGAGAATATAAAATATTTAAGTCATCTAGGATTATATATCAGTGAAATTCACGCATGAAAACAAGGGACAGATAACTGAGAAGAAATTCCAGCCAGTTATTTGCTTGATGATGAATTGTTATTTATTAAAAGTCATGTTGCTTGTTGTCGACTTCACAATACGAAAGCGATCATCGAAATATAAACAGCTGCTCAGTTTTTCAAACTTAGAGAAAGATTTTTTTTACGATATTTTCATTTTGTCATTGTAGTTAAAGCACAAAATTTTCAATTGGCTCGTTCTAAAAAGATATTTTTGAAAAACAAACATTCATTAACAGTCGCAAAATCCGAATACTTGACATTTCATTTTAATCTATTACTATGCGTTCTCTTCACATAACATTCGATACATGTTTTTGGAGCAATATCTTTTCTTATTCGAATTCGATTAACTTGAACACGAAAAATAAAGTGAAAGTCTCAAGACTTGACCATATCAGTTAAAATTACGAAACTATGTTGTTGTGTTCAATGAGACAACTTTCAGGAAGTGCAAATTATAAGCGGCTGGTGTATATGCTTCGAATACAAAAATTGATAATCGAAACAATGCAGCGAAGCAACAAATGGAAAAATACTGAATCGTGAAGACATGCAAATTGAAATATAGCTACATTTAGTTATTCTCTTCGCGTTTGCTTTTCATACGATAGCAATGAATTAATTTTTCAGCTGCTACTCAGTCGTCATTAATACTATTAAAAACATTTGGTTGTTGGCATGTGCTAGTAAATCGAAACTATACTTAGCCTTTTGAAGAATGAATGTGCATCTTTCCGCTTCTCATAATAATATTTGTTACGCTGTGAATATGCAATACTGTTCAGATTGCATGTTTATAAGATGCTGACAATCGAACGTTATTGTGACATATACTCCCAAGAACCATCCTCATGAGTAGAGGTATTTGATTCCTCTGCACGACAAGTTTATAAATTTAGCTTGTCAATACAATATGTTTTAGGTAAGTTTTTTGCCAAAAATGGATGGCTGAATAGTTGATTTAGTCATTCAAAAATTAGATTTTGAAGAGTTGCCAAGGACAATACTGAGTTAAAATTGATCATTCATCTACTTTTCACATGAACAGTGACTGGTGCTTTGTAAAACAAAGAGTTTAATTCGCAAACAGCTTTTTAATAAAATAATGACTGATGGCACTAAAATCATTAGTCAATTCATTATTCGATCACAGTTCAACACAAATGATCTCTTCTCATTTTTATAGTTGTATGAGCCTTTTTTTGTCGGCGAAAATAGCATTGTTCTTCAGATGAATCCATTAAAAAGTCGTATAGATCACTAGTACCAAAACTTGTTTGTCTATTATTGCTGCCGACAACATGGTGCTATAATAGAAAGATAAAAATATAAATGGTTACGAAGCACCAGAATCTTGACGATTGAAGATAATAACAAAATGCGGAATTCCGGTTGAATAAAAGAAAGAATCGTAATGCAAGTTCTAGTAACGTTTTGTTAGATAAAAATGAAATAATAAAATAAACTAGTTAAGCCAAGTAATTGAGCTTAGGTGAAACAAATTTTACACATCAAATTGCCTTGACATAAGAAACTTTGCGCAATAGAAATTCCAAAGCCTAATTTTTATTTTTGATCTTATCAACTTTACTTAGTGTTCATAACATGAATCTTTGAACTAAATTAGAAACAAAGATATTTAATCATACAAATGTCATTGTTTGTTTTCATAATTTTAGATAACAATTCATGCAAGCGTAAATAGAAGTTATCCTTTTCAAAATGCGTTATTATAGAATATTTATAGCAATTACGATTGCCTTCATATTTGGTATTGTTTTGATATTCAACAATTATCAAACGTTTTCGTACTCTCAAATCATATTAGCCTACAAAAAAAATTCAATTGAAAAAGTTCTCGTACAAATCCCTACGTGTACTCCCGATGATCGTGCTCGTCAACGTGCCCTGCTCCATACACTTCTACAATGGAGTCAGCTTGCTCAAGAACATAACATTCAATATTGGATTGCATATAAAACACTTCTTGGTTATGTTCAACGCGATGGTTTACTGCCACATGCTCTAAACCTTGATATTTTAGTAATGGCACAAGATACATCGCATCTTGCTGAACTTTGTACATTAAATTTTTCATCCAATTATGAACTGAAACTTCATCCACAATGGTTTATTGTTGAAAAAACTAAGCGTTCGTATTTCAACCAGGAAGGCATCGATTTTGTGGAGCCTAATGCACGATTCATCAATCGAAAAGATCATGTACACATCAATATTTGGCCTATGTATGATTATAACCCGAATCAGACAAGAATAGAGAAGAATAGTCAACCTATGCTTACTGAATACGACAAAAATTATAAATGGAAATCATCACCAAAAGAATGGACATTCCCATTGCAGAAATGTTTATTGAGTGGAATCAAAGTATGGTGCCCAGCAGAACCAGAGAAAATGGGTGTTCATCTGTATGGACAAAGCTTTTTAATTAAATCGCNTTTGGCCTATGTATGATTATAACCCGAATCAGACAAGAATAGAGAAGAATAGTCAACCTATGCTTACTGAATACGACAAAAATTATAAATGGAAATCATCACCAAAAGAATGGACATTCCCATTGCAGAAATGTTTATTGAGTGGAATCAAAGTATGGTGCCCAGCAGAACCAGAGAAAATGGGTGTTCATCTGTATGGACAAAGCTTTTTAATTAAATCGCCAATAGAATGTATTAATGGAGCGTGGAAGAAATCCCACGAAGACATTTCTACAATAGAAACGACACATACGTAAGTTGACTGATATAAGATGTCGTCGCTCAGTTTAGTACTATATAGTAGTTTTTCATAGAATCTTAATGAATCAAATATATTGAAGGAAAACACTGTAAATATGTGTGGTTCATATGAACTTCTTTTTCCCATCAATTAATTACCTTGTTCTTTTAAAAAGAATGTTTCGAAGAATTTTCTTCTATTTAATTATCCTTTAATCTGAAGAAAAATCTCACAGCATCTATTTAAGTCTTCACCTAGTTTAATTTTTATTCTCTCTAATAGTTACACGAAGAAAGATTGCAACAAAAAAAGTAATCGTGCAAATTGTAGCTCTATCCTTCTCCTATCTCATTTCCTAATTTTTTCAGTGAATAATGAAATATAAAACCTTAATTTTGATAGCAGCTCAGGAAAAACCAAAGGATACAGTATTAGAGATAGAAAAAGATAAATTATGTAAAAGTATAGTTCTAAAAATGAAAGAACATGAAAGTGAAATCTACAGATCACTTATTTGGGTCGAAATCTTTTTTCTATTGTTTAAAATGATTTCACTGTAGACAGACAACAACTACAAGATTAAGCGATGAAGAATTTATCGAAAAAATTCTTAAAAGCGTTCCAATATGTGAGTCAGATGATCGTGATCGTCAAAGATACCTTCTAAGCATGGTTCAAGCATGGTCTCATCTAGCAGAAAAATATAATATTCAATATTGGCTGTCATTTGGAACACTTGTTGGTTATGTACAACGTCGTGGGCTATTACCACACGATTTAGATATTGATGTGACAATGCTGTCTAGTGACACACCGAAACTGATCGAAATTTCTAAATTGAACTTTTCTTCTACTTATGAAATTAAAGTTCAGCCACAATGGAAAATCGTTGACGAATTAAAACGTTCTTATTTTCGTAAAGATGGTATTAATTTTATTGCGCCGAATGCAAGATTCATTCATCAAAAAACCAGATATCATGTTGATATATTTCCTGCATACGATTTCAATCCAACTTATGCAAATGAATCAACAGAAATGCAGCAATCAGAAAATTTAACAGTTCATGATAACAATTATCAGTGGTTATCTTATCCAAGAAACTGGACGTATCCATTAGTAACATGTTATTTTAGTGAGATACAAGCACTGTGTCCTGCAGAACCAAAAAAATTAGTTGAAACTATATACGGTGCTAGTTCTTTAACAAAATCTGATAAAAAATGTGTTAATGGTAGTTGGGTTCGGAATTCCTAAGTCAACAGTAATTAAAAAACAATGAATCTGTTACTATGCTAACAGACTACTGCACGTTCTCGAGTGTTTTCAGGTGTCAGAAGATCCAGTGATGGTGTTTATTTATCTGCTTTTGTTTTAAAATTAATATGAAATAACAAGATTTTTGAAGAAAACAGCTGAAAATAGTATTTTCGAAAGATTTTTTTAGGATAAATAAAACAGAAATTACAACATATTTACTATTCGCTAATTTTTGGATGAAATATTTGAAAACTACCTTAATATTTAGTGATTAAATGTTTCACTGCAAAGATATTCAGTGTGACTGAAGTCGTGTATTTCTTCTAATCTGGAATATATCAACTGGAAATGTTTTTGCAATCGTATATATTTAAGAAAATTTTATATGAAGTCTGATAAGGGTAATTCATTTTCATATGCTCCCAATGGTAATGATTAAAAGAATTATTTGAGTTTTGTTTTAAATAATATAATGGGATTAATGAAATCATACATCGGTATTCGCTAGATCCCATTCGAAAATGATGGTTATTTATGGATGCTCAATTTACTCTATGTCACTTAATCATGATATTCATAGATTGAACAATATTTCATCGCATATATTCTGGGTGTGGGTTAAGAGAAAAACTATGCCTCCCACTAGAGTACATTGGGTTCAAAAATGTATGAGCCCTGATCCGAACGCGCATCGCACTGATTAAAATTTTTTGGATAAAACGAACAAAAATTTCAAAAAAATGATATATTATTATCACATGAATCAAATTTTTCTGTCAATCGACACCCGACCAATCAAATTTTCAGACACGGACCCAAAGCCATTTTCCTCTATTTTGTTGTTTTGCCTTTTTTAAACCTATTTTCTGTTATTAGAAGAATGCAGTTCCATATCACTGTCCCCTTCACAATCAGAAATATATTGCGCTACGCGTTGTAGTTGAGTAATTTGTATAAATTCTATATTCTTCTTCATAAAATTGAAAAAATATATATTTATGTAAAAGGACCAATCTATGTTGCCCTTTCTATATACAATTTATCTCTAATTTGAATTAATTATTTCCCATTCAAAATATTCATTATTCATTCAACATAATTATTGCTAAATTTGATTATTACTCATTTCAATATTTTTATTGCTTAACTGAATATAAGACGAAATATTCTATATCATTGATAATTTTATATTTATCAATCTGATAAAAATTTTCATTATAACAATAAATAAATCTACTGTCTTTGAAATAAACTTTTCAAAGGCAAAAAGAAAATTTTTATTGATGTACAGAATGATGTCGATCGCTTGTGCTTTGTTTGATTTATTTTCAAGTGAAGAAATTGCGCTGAAAAAATGTTTCTACTAACGTAAATAATTCAGTTTTAAATTTACGTCTGAAAAACACCGTGCAAAGAAAAAAGGAATTGAAGATTAACCGTTTCTTCAGTGAAAGAGTACTTTAAAATTGCTCATCTGTTCTTAAATATCAGCATGTTCTTTGATCAAGCTAAGGTTAATTAAACAAAAGTTGAGTTGCGCCTGAATGCATTTATTTATTTATTGATGATATTATTGGAAAGATTATGCAACATGAACAAATACAAAGCGCGTTAAAAGCTTATGCATTCATTTTTCTATTTTACTATGCCCACAATTCAAAATTGATGCAAAAGCAATTGCCAATTTCTATTCATTGTGTTAAATAAATTTTGCCAGTTGAATTTGATCAATTTTATTGTTGATATAATTTATCTTTGTTTTGCAGTGCAATTAACAAAAGGTATTGTGACGATATCAATGTTTGATATACTTAAGTCTTTCTTCCTGTTAGCTACCTATCTATTCGTCTCTTCCTTTCTTCCTATTATCCATGCATTAGTCTTTCCCTTGTTTCTCTCTGTCCTGATTTCTCTTCGTTCTGTATGTAACAGTGAACATGTATTTAAACGATGCGATTTATGATATAAAGAAGCTAAATAAACAGTAGTTTCGGCAGCGCAAGCATCTCTTATATCTAAAGCCGTCACAGGTATGTTTAAAATAATTAGTGTCCAGAAAAACTGGGATACACTGTGCCGATATTGGTGGCACGCTTCAATGATTCTCCTCAGGGCCAGAACCGGTCCGGTTAAGAAATTCAACCGGGCCGGTAAATACCGAAAAATCGCCGGTTGAAATTTTAAAATAACTATCTTCATTTAGCTCTGTTTTGTTAAAATGATGTTTTATCAGTATACATATATACATTTATTTATATATAAAAAGTCCTATAAATCTGTTGATGCTGCAAAATTTTTGTGGAATTCAGAAGAAATATTGATTATAATCATAAACAACAGTAATAAATCTCATTTTTAATGCGGTCCGAAGCACGGCATTCATATAGTCCGTCGCGAGTTTTTTTTAATGCGATGTAAAGCAGAAGCATTTATGTAGTCCATCGCGAGTTTTTTTATTTTTTATTTTTATTAATGCGATGCAAAGCAGAAGCATTTATGTACCCGAGTCATAGCATTTTTTGCAAGAGCATGCAATTCTTGACTTTCTTGAGCAAGAAGCCAAGAACTATGGACACATCTTGAGGCAAGATATGAGGCCTTTCGATGAGCTCAAGTTCTTAAACTTCTTGCTCATGCCGCTGGATATTTTTGCTCATGCGCTGGGTATTCTTACTCATGCGCTTGAATTTTTATCTAAGCGTTTCTGTTATTAAAGAAATTTTTCAAATTTACATTCAAAATGACTCAACTTATTATAAAAATTTATAGTTGCATTCTTTTTGTAACTCATGCAAACATTCAAGCGCTTGTCTTGAGCAAGAAAGTCAAGAACTATGGACACATCTTGAGCTCAAGTCTTGCAAGCGCATGAATAAAAATGTTTGACTAGGGTAGTCCGTCGCGAGTTTTTTTATTCTTTTATTTTTTTTTATTATTTATTATTTACTTGACGTACGCATCAACATAGTCATTTTGTTGCGCGATGATCTCGAGAACCAAAAAATCATAGAAAAGTTATTCAAACTAGAGGGGAAAATATGAATATTGAACTTGTGATATTTGTTTTCAAAATTTTAATACGATATTTTGTTTTCTCAGAAATATTCTACCAAAATGACGATTTTGAAAGATATTTATCGTTTCAGACTTTCGCGCTAATTAAAATGACGTCATGAATAGTTGTTAAGCAATAGTCTATTGCTTTACATCTGATTCTAGATAATGATTCATGAAAATAATTAATCGTTCAATGAAAAAAATCGTTAGACAACTGGTTGTTACATTTTCAGAGAGATTTCCTAGTGATGAAATTCAAAATGGTCGATTTAAGAATAGTGAATGTGAAATTTTTATTCAAAATTCGTATGCGGAAATTTTAAAAAAATAATCGATTCTAATGAATCTTAACGTGGATCATTTACTTTTTAAAATCTTATCCTCACTACTTTCGAATTTTCGGCTCCTGTGTTTCGCACCGCATTTCGTAGTCGAGTGAAACTCGAATACCATCTAGTCTTTCATAGTAAACAGAAATCAACGGAAATGCGACAGTTGATCAATTTGGTTGGTCAATGCATTATCAACAGTGATCTTTTTTTCTGGCGTGTTTTATTTCTTTCTCGTCCGTTTTTGCCGGAATTTCACCGGTTCGAGAATAATTGATGTCCCGCCGGAGCGAACCGGTTAATGTTTTTAACCGGCTGGACAGGACCGGCTTATAAATATCTTACCGGTTCCAGCCCTGATTCTCCTTCCTTCTCTTTATGTTCTCTTTCTATTGTTCTAATCTCTCTCTCTCTCCTGTCTCTCTTCTATCTCTCTCCTATATATACGTGTATTATGTATGAAGTTGGCACACGGCTAGAGATGTCAGATGACGCAATACACCATCATGTTGACGGGCATAGGCGACACTCTCTAGTTTTGTCGTTATACTTTGGATATGTGAAGAAGCAAATAAACACCATTGCCGAGAGTGGCTGTAAGCTACTCCACCTCTATCCAGTTTGTCTTAATACATAAACTCTTCAGGGTCCTATATGCATCGTTACACTCTGGAGATGTCAGATGACACAATATACCATTATGCCGACGGGCATAGGCGACACTCTAGTTTTATCGGTGCGCTCTGGATACTTGAAGTAGCTTAATAAACATCTGTGTCGAGAGTGACACAAGCTACTCTAATCAAGTTGGTCGTTACACATTCTCTTCTCTCCCTGTCTTTACCATTGCTACTCTCTCTGTTTTCTTCTATTCCTTTTCTCTGTATATACAGTGGCTCCAAAAATTATTCATACACCTTGTATGATTTAGTTGTTTTTTTCTCTTGTTTTCGAAGCACCTGAGAGAGGGTCGTGAATGTTTCACTAAACAATAGTTTATCAGCACTATTACATATGGTGTCGTTTTCAGCTGATACTAATATACGTTGACTAGTTTATGAGAAAAACATTAAGAAGATCTGGAATTTAGAGTTACAAAAATTATTCATACACCAACGAAAATTCATTTGTTTCTTATCGACATTTATCGATCAGAAGAGATATCGATGCTATTACTTTTCTCAAGTCTTACAGCATTGAATCGCACCTCAATCATGCGTCGAGTAATTCAAGAGAAATTTTATTATGACGAATAGTCTTCTAGACAAGACTTTTTAATTTTTTAGAGGTAATATAGGTCTTCTCTGCAGAAATATTTTCATCTTTTGCTCTATTAAAGAACAGATAACCTTTGTCAGTCAAAATACGATGTGTAGATACGATTTGAGCGCAATATATTCGATTATTTAATTAAATCAGTCATCGTAGTGAAGAATATTACTAGATTAGAGAAAGAAACGATGCACCCAGAAAACGTTTTCGTGATCTGGCACTTGAACAAGCTTCATATTTAAAGAAAGCGAGTCGAATTATATCAGAAATACACGTTGCTAACAATACTAAATAATGTTCGTCGAAGGTGTATACGATCGAACTTTATTCACCGTACTC